CCCCAAAACCCCAAAACCCCAAAACCCCAAAACCCCAGGTTAGGTAAAAACAATTGAATTAATTAATCAAAAAGTAATGGTTGAAGCCATCATGGTTCACTTAGTCTAAGGGTTGAACATTTTTCAGAAACTAGGGAACAGATTTTTGTCACTGCTCTTCCACAAATTATTATCTGACTGCTGATAAGTACTATACTGTCGGAACTGGCCAGGATAGTCAAAATTTGTTCAAGAATCTTCCTGAACTAGTCCCATTTCCATCGGCCCGACCCTTGGAGACATAAACGGGATGTTTTCATGGTACAAACTCTTTGAGAATTGCATAAAAGGCTCAGGTTCCATAAAGGCTTCTGGCTTACCGAATTGGAGCTCTTTTGGATTATTGAAGGTAGTCGCATTCTCAGAATAGGAGTTCTTGGCATGTCTTCCCTTGTTCTGCACCGTGTTTTGCCCATTTTGAGGGAAGATAGATTCTAAGCCGTCCAGTTGCATGAGTCTACCAGATTTATCTTCTGTGTAAATCTTCCCTTCTCAGGTAAAATATAGGACTTTATTAGTAGAGGGTTCAACAAATCTCCGAGTATTGCTAGGTAACTCCTCAGGGATAATACTGTTTGAAATTTTCGAATTGTCCTTGTTGTCATTCTTTAGACCAGGTCTTGAGCATCCTAGGAATTTTGATTTCCTGTCTTTCGGAACTTTCTTCTTGAATGGCTTCTTTATATGCACAGGATCTGCATGCACAAGACTCTTCAGGGAATTCTTTACATTATTTACAGATTTCAAACTTTTATTTGAGGAGATAGACTTCTTTTTATCTATTTTAGTGAACTTGAAAGATTCCTTCTGGTCTATCCCAAATCCGGTCTTTTTATCGAATCTGACGCCTATCTTTTGAGAAGCTTTGAACTCGATCCTACCTCGAGGAGTGTGAGAGTAATTAGCTCTCACAGAGTCACAATAATTCATTCCTTTCGGAGTTTGCCTCGGTTTGATAGGCTCTGTTAGCTTGCTTGGAAAAGAGTTTTGCCTTTCTAGTAAAACTTCATTCGGGCCTCAAGATAATTGTGTGTTGATAATTTTACTAGCTCCTTTGCCTTCAGTAGGAATCTCAGTATTGTCTTTAGCATCTGACTGAATGAGAATATCTTCTTCATCTGTGAAAGATTCCAAAGATTTGCTACCGTCATTAGAAAGCTTTAGGTTGTTTAATTCGTTCAAGACAGCTTCCATTATTTGAGGATTTTTCTTTTGGAGTACTTCAATCACGCTTTTGACCTCTTCCTTCACCTTAGAAGAAATCTCGGATTTCTCTTTCTTAGTATTGTTATCAGTTGAATTCTTGAGGCGCAGTGCTACTTGGTTCAAACTGGGACTATTCCTCAGATCATGCACAGGCGGATGATTTGTAGAACCACTCTCACATATCTTAGTGTCATCAAATGAGTTTGAATCTGGAAGTCACCTAGGAGTGGTGATCAAATTTCCAAGGGCTGTGGATTGGTTTTTTGTGGTCATTTCAACATCTTTGCTCCAGTTTTGATTCAATTTTTCTAAAATATGTTAGTTCCAATGTCTTACCTTGACTCTTATAGATCTTACTACTAAATTTGGTATAACTATGACTGCCTATAAATCATTAAAATGCTAACAGAAATAAACCCTTACTTTTCAGATTACTTCTGTTTGTTGGTGAGCCAATAGAGCGGCTTTTTGTCAGACAGCTTCCTAATTTATGGGAAGTTATTTTAGGAGTATCTACACAAATATCGTCATCATCTTGAGAATTATTGATTTCCATTGGTAACTCACTAGGAGTGAAATGAATCGCATTACTCATATTGTTGGGGTTATTAGTAATTGTGTTCTTCAAGTCATCAATTAGCTCTGTTCTCCATTGATGATTATCCTCTCCGATTCTAGTCGGAGATTTCAGGTCAGCAATATTCCCAGAGGTTTCTAACTGGGCCTTATTGTGATTATTCCGTTTCATTGATGCCTTCTTCTTCCTCATGAGAGCATTAAACCGATTCTTAGCCATGATCTCTGTTCTCCCATGAATCTCTTTAGAAATTTTAGCCCATTGATTATTATAAACTCAGTGTCTTTCCAGAAGGGTCAGATCCTCGAAAGGGGTCCAAGGACTTTTATTAATATTTGGATCTAAATGATTTAGCCATCTTTCTCGACATTGTTTGCCATTTCTGATTTTGGAGATGCCTTCTTGGCAATTGAACATCTCAGAGATTTCCTTCCAGTTCATTGCTCCATAACTCTGTACTAGGTTGAATAAGATCTGGTTGTCTCTATGAGACCATGATTTCTTAGTATATGACACTAGATCCCGATTCCTCTTATTTCCACTGTGACATGCATTGGGTCTCTGTTCTGCCTGGAATATTCCATGGGATTATTTTATAATCCTTTGTGGTCAGATTAGCTTGCTTTATTTTATAAGTATCTCAGTATTTCTTTATGGCATAATCTAAAAGTTTAATTTCGTCCTGGCTCCATTTCCTCCGGCCTTGCAAGTTAGAACCTAGTTGCTGCATCTGCTTCTGGCGTATTAAATTAGCTTCTTGAGAGGAAATTGGTCAAAAACTGTAAACTGTCTCCCCAGCAATACTTGATGACTCTCTTTCTGTCTGGTCAGGTGAACGTCGAACCTCCTTCGGGCGGAACTCATCAAACACCTGAATAGAGTTCGAATCAGGGTGATACTTTTGTGTATAGTTAGAGTTATAATCATACTGTTTTTTCTCGTTACTACTAGTCCGAATTCTTCCATCCATCTCATTTGATATCTTCCTTTCTTTGGATCCTGGCTTCTCAGCAGAATGATAGGTCTCACTATCGGCTCTCCTTTTTCTTTGCATTTCAATTTATATAGTTATTATGGGGTTTTGGGGTTTTGGGGTTTTGGGGGTTTGGGG